TGGTTAACATATTTAGAAGTTCCAGTATGGTCATTTAACTATAAATTGATCAAGTAATATTTTATTTTTAAAATAATACAAAAAAATATAATTCGAAATAGTTCACGTTCAACGCACGTATGCATTAACTAGTTACTAATAAAAGTACCCTGACATAAAAAAAATTTGATTGACTATTTTGTCCTTATAAAATAATAGTAACTACTTAGCAATGCTTTTAGATTATTTACCATTAATCTATATTTATCTATACCTATACTATTAATAAAAATACATTGACATTAAAAAAACTTTGATTGACTATTTTGTCCTTATAAAATAATATAAAGGCACTTATATCCATTTATAGTTAACTATTCAAATTACTTTTATATTTTTCTATAGTTAATAATTCAAATTACCCTTGAATAGATTTTATTATGTATAAGAAGACAGTATACTAGATGAAGTACCATATCAAAAACTATAAATTTGTGTGTTAAATTATATTTTTTTGGATGCTAATTCTACCCAAAAAAAAATAAATCATAACATTTTAATTGATCCTAAAAAAATATAACTTCATATGTCAAGTTATATATTTTTTTTCAAATATTTAATAAGTATTGATCCTAAATGTTAAGCTCAATCATAAAATTTTAGAATCAATTTCAACCACCTCAAAAAAATATGACTTAACTTTCCAATATTATATTTTGTTGTATGGTCCTAAAAAAAATATCAATACTATACAATTATCCTAATCTTATAATTTATCTCTATATATTATACTCTATATAAATGTCAACTATCTTGAATAAAAAATTATTCTTCTATTTTATCCTATTTTAATATTTTAAAGTCAAAAATTTCTTCACCTAATAACTACCGTAATTTCAAAATTAGGCTCTTAAAATTATAAAATAATGATTTTAAATGGTCACGAAATGACTCTATGAATAATACACAGAAATATTTATATACATTTAGCGTATCCATATTACAAATACCAATTATAATTTATACTTTTCAGACATAAATTAGAATTTATTTTGATTGAACTGAAATCTGTACTTGTGTAACTGTGAAAGTTTATAACTATTCCTCTTACTAATAGTGACTCTAGAGTCATGAAGTTACTCTTATAATCTTGTTTTATTTTTTTACGTTTAAGTATTCATAATGTTGCTTGATAGATACTAAAGAGAGAGATATGATGCTTTGATTGCTTCGATAGAGGTGACAAGCAGAAAACAAAAAAAAGGAGAAAAAGAGCATTTAGCCTCTCAAGAAGCTCATTCTAAAGTTGTAGATGTTGATTCTAAGAGGCAATCTCTCTCTCTCTCTCTCTCACACACACACATGATTACCGAATACCAATATTTAATTTGTAAAATGTATTATGGTTTTCATTGCTTGTCATTCATCTTTTGATATTTTTTGTTATCCGTGTAATAGTCAACATTAATTTCTCTAATTACTAGCTATTATAATCACTCTAATTTGAGTTTTACTGTGTTTAAAGTTTTTTAAATATTTTTTTAGGAACTTGATTGACAAGCTTTACTCATGTGAAGTTATAAAGAAAGACTCGAATGAACGAACAGTAAAGACCCATGACTTGATCATATCTATATAAAAGTGAAAAATCAATGGTAAATCTAATATTTCAAGACAACAATGGTAGGAAATGTTAGTTTATTGTGTTAAAAGACTAATATTAACTATTTTAAATAGATTTTGTAATGAGTTTGACTGTGAAATATAAACTTTATGCACGGAGTTGAATAAAGTTGATCACAACTTATGCCGCAGTCATCTTGTTCTTCTGATGCGGTTCAGTGCAAAACACACATTAAAAAGTTTTTACTAATATCATATTTGATTATTTGTAAGAAAATGATATATGTTATTTACTATTTAAAATAATTCACGTGCAACGGACGTGTACATTAACTAGTATTAAGAAAAGCAAGTAACCACCCATCGAGTAATTATGTGTGTGCTACATTTCTTATTGCAACATATTATATTCTCTAACTATATTGTAACTAAAATCATGATTCATTCCAATTTTATGATCCATTCCATTGTATAAAGGAAGCTAACCTTTGGCTTGGTAAGTTTTTTTACTTTTTTTAAAATAAAAGTAAATTTCTCAAAAAAAATATATTTATTTACTATTTAATAAGATCAATCTATATGCTTCTTAATATATCAATAATATATATATATATACACACACACACACATGCAATTAAGTTTGAAAAAAAGGGAGGTAAAACTGGATAAAAAATAATAAAAAAAAATTCAAAGCATTGCTCGAAAAAGTGTTTAGATCATTACTTTTTTCAAATATAAAGATAATATTATGCGTACATATATGTATTTTTTTTCATCTATATTATTAATAAAAGTACTTTAGCATGAAATATTTTTGTTTCAATATTTTATCCTTAAAAAAATATTTAAATACCATACTATTTTTTCATAGTTAAATATCTAAATTATCATCATATTCTTATGTTTTAAAATCTCCAAATTATCCCTAACATCTCTTGTAATNTCATGGTTTCTCTTGGCTGTATGATTCATTTGGGGGAAAGATTGAGTTTCACGAAATAATAAACAAATGTATAACTCACTAGGAATTTCAATTGTGCTCATATTCATTACTATAGGAATTAGGTTCAAGCTTTTTATCTTTTTTCTTATAGTTAGATTAACGAATCTTTGAGAACATATAAATTTTTTTGACGTCTATAGTATAGTATGAATGATAAAAACATTAACTTGATAAACTTGAGATGATATTTAATTTAAATACACATATATATACTTAATATTTTTTATTAATATTTTATATACAAAAATTATTCACGTGCAACATATACAATGCATTACTAGTTATACTATGTATCTTTTGTAACCACCCCTCAACGCCCCCATCAAATTTATTTGCATAAAATTATTTTTACTATTCAATAATTTAGTTTAATTTGTTATTTATCTTCTTAAGTGATAAGATGAAAGCGAAAAAAATAATAAATTAAAAAAATAATAAAATATATATTCCGTGCATCACACGAGATCATGGCACTAGTATATAATTTATGTAAAATATTATATCTGAAATTGCTCACATAATTCATAAATGCAAATCTTTTTTCCTTCGCATTAGCTTTTCGCAAAAGGAAAAAGCACCATACACTCATGGCTGATAAATTGAAGAACGAGACTAATTAAGTAAGGGATTGGTTGTTCGTGGTGTCTAATCATAAGAATTGGAGAAGGATTTTGATCAGACGGCAAGGAGGGATTGTGTTGATGCCTTCCACCACTTTAAAATGTAGGTAAGATTATTGGTAGCCCAAATTACCAATTTTCTGAATTAAGTTAAAATTATAATGAGATAAGGTGTCTGGATAGAATTTTAGGATCGATCATAACTCATTTTTTTATATCTATTGCGACTAAACTTGAGTCAAAAAACTTAAATTCTATTGAAACCCAACTTGATTAAAAAAAAAAAAAAAACTCTTAAGAGTAATACTATTGACACGCAATTTTTTTACTTCATATTTGTTGATGGATCAAGTCTAAGAGTCTAACTCATGTTATAAGTTTGATCTAAATTAATGGTCAATCTTCAAGAGATCTAGCAAGTCTAGCCCAATGTGGTCCACCCCGGTCATACTCATCAGGTTCGAGGACCTACATCAGCTGGGAGCATGCAGGTCATCCAAGAGTCTCATTCTCGCCGTCTTGAAAAGAGTCAATTCTTACCTCATCCTTCAACCGAATCTCATGGAGAGTACCGTAATTGTCTCGCCCGTTAAGTAGAGGTCACCAGATCCACCAAATTAGTTATTTAGTTACTATTAAGTCGTCTTAATCTGTCAGGAGACGACTATAAATTGTAAGTCTTACCAACACTTGGGGGACATCATACTCAATTGAGCACATATCTCTTTTCCCTCTCATAATTTGTAACTTCTTGCTCTCTCTACACTCTTGAAGTAATAAAAGTACCCGACGATCCTAGCTATTCAGAGTGGACATAGGTCACGTTGATCGAATCACTAAAAATTCTTGTCTTCATCTCTTCACTTTAATTACTGCATTTATTACTGTTCTATTGACAGGTGGTGTACAAACTCAATTTGTACTTTAATTTTGTGGAAGAAAATAAGTTTCTTGAATTTGCATCTCTAATCGTATTCCCACGAAAAGAATGTTGAAGTTGAAAAACCACCTAATCTTTCGAATCCTTATTGCAAAGTCGATTAATTATATGCCCTAGGGTTGAATCGTAACGATTCACTTTAATTTTGACTCTATCTCTTGATAGTATCCATATAAAATTACGTCATATCTTTTCTGAAATATAATTGAGAATCAAATCTTCATTATCTATATGGATTCAGAATATACCATTGGGAAGCGATTCAATAATTAAACCTTCATAATTCATTTTTGTTCTTTCATTCCATGTAAAACCCCCTTGAAGTATCAACAAATGGAGGAGGAACGATATTAGATAACTCACCTTTTTTCTTTAACTTAATTCATTATAGCAATTGAATTGATAGCTGATCTCAATGAATATGGGAATTCATTGTTTATCCAATAATTGTGCGTGATTAAATCAATAAATTAAATTAATACTATTTACACTAAAGAGTAATACTATTTACACCTAATTTATGGACATAATTTGTTAATTTAAATCATCATAGTCCTTAAATTAATTGTGAATTCGATTAGATATTGAAACTTAGTGATAATCAAATTGTTACGATTGGGTCAAATTTATAAGTCTAAACAACATTACTCACCACTAAATATATGCAATTTTTACCGTCAATCACATATCCAAAGGGCAAAAAAAGAATAAAAAGAAAAAAAGAAAAAGAAAAAGTCTCTGTGTGGTTGAAACTTAGAGAATTACTTTCCCCCAAAGAAAAAAAAAGCAAGTAGAGTACTTGGTGAAACATGTATGACAATTTTTGTCATCATCATCATCTTGAACAAACTGGTTCTTCTGCTATAGTCTCTAACAATGGCTTCTTTGACCTGCTCATAGACAATCTGTGCTTAAATTTTGGACTCGATAACTCTTCAATATCATCTAAATTCAACTTTGGCAAAACTTCCTCCCAATTCAGCTGTGCCTCCTGAGATATTTTTAGACCCTCCTCACTGCACTCCGGCAGGACCCTTACACTTCCAATGGACACCCGCTTCGCCGCCGAATTGGTCGTGACCAACGGACCAACCACATCAGCCGCCGTGACCACAGAATTCAATCTCTTCATCGGAAACATGACGTAAACACTGGCCATTTCGAGGTCCTCGTCGGCGTTGAGGGCGGAGAATCGTCGTCCGATGTGGAGGGACTGGGAGTTTACGAGGAAGAAGTTTGGTTTCTCGAGCATGAGCTCTGCTGCTTTGATGGGTTGGTGGAATTGTTGGATTTTTCCGGTTGAAAAAATCACTTTTGCAGGTCTTGAGTGTTTGGATCTTGGGGCTGATACAGTGCAGGTCCTGCAGGAGATGAAGTTGCCCATTATGAAGAAGAAGAAGAAGAAGATAGGTTTACAGAAGAATGTTTTGGTGAAGGGAGAGAGAGGGAGAGAGAGAGGAGTTTGGCTTCAGAGCTTGAGAAGATGGAGATGGGGGGGGGGGGGGGGGGGGGGGGGGTGTGTGTATATGGGTGGGGAGGGAATGAGACAAGGTCTACTTCGGGATTTTAGAGGAAGAAAAAAACATAATAGAATATTGGGAGACAGTTGTTGCTAGGTAATGAAGGTTGACATTGATATAGGGGAGTCTGCGGCTGGAGGAGGAAAGAAGGAAGTTTGTAAGAAATGTATGAAGAAATACACATATACATGCTAAGTTGGTATTGGGTAGGGAAGGGATTGTGTAATGAGTTATGCTATGCTTAAATTCTACACCAAAGTTCTCGTCCCAAATAGTGTGGTAAATTCATCGTCATTGCATAAGAATGAAACTTATTCATTTGATGATTATAAATATGTCGCGTCATTAGGGACGAAAGATTTAATATAAATTTTTAATTAATTAAAAGCTATGTGGAAGATTTAACCGAGAGAAATGGAGATAATAATTATGTTGTTTTCGGTTCATGAATTATATAAAAAAATAAAATAAATGCGACATGAATTCAATAGATATGACTCGAATATCATAAAATTTGAATAAAACACTGTATAATTCAATTGACCTTTTTTTTGTCATTGCTCTAAGTTGGATTTTTTATTCAAAAAAATGAGTGTTTTTCTTTTCTCTTGGGGTGGCAATTTTGTTGAAAATCCTGAAAAAGACCGGTGGTGGTGGTGGTCGGTCTCGGTTGTCACTTGCGCTGGCAACAAGAGCAGCTCATCATACGCCTGCCGCGTCGAGAGGCCTTTTACACCGGAATTTCAGGTTGCTTTTATCATTCTCATTCTTTACGAATATTATATTATTTCTTGTCTAATAAAAAATATCCAGCTTTAATTAAATCTGGTTTTCAATCACACCCTACTAAATAAATTAATAATTCATTTTGACCCATGAGATATTTGAAACTGACCCATTCGGCACGAGAGGTTTATCAAGTGACTAAGCGTCGCTAGGCTAACTGCTTGAGATGAAACGGAAGATAAGTACCTTTATTATTTCATTCATTGCCGACATTTAGTTCTTGTATTACCATAAATGAGATGACCAATGTTACATATGGTAGACAATTGTTAGTATGACCCGTCGGTTCAATACGTGAATCTAATTTATGTATAATACAAACTTTACTGTAAATTCGGTTAATACATGATTGACCTCTATTACACGTAATTATAAATGATTATATACAAATTGAACCGATTTTAACATAATATAACTTAAACGTTAATCACGACACAATCCACTATTAATCCAACATCCTTATCAATTTAGTTTAGAATGACCTGGTTCACACCTGAGTGAACTCCCATTGGCGGAAGTGAATCAAATGATCCAACTCTTTTAATATCCACGATAGTTGCCGTTCCGTACTACGTCACGGAACATTAAATTAATTCTGGTAGATTCCAAAGTTGTGTTGTTCTGTATCAATTCCATGGAGACTATTGCTGCTGTTTTGGACCCATTTTGGTTTAGATGGTAATTAAATGGCTTAGAAATGATTAAGCAAAGTTTGTAGTATGTGACAATGAGAACAAACATCCCTAATCAAGGTTAAACTATAATAACAAATAGTTATTTTTTAATTCCATTTATTTTTTTATATTAATGATCGAATGATGCGTGTACAATTTTTTTTTCCTTATATCACTATATTTTATTAGTACCGAGCACCGCGTGCAATGCACGAAATTTTCTACCATCATCTTACGATCTTACTCTCCATAATTCTAATATTTTTGGACAGTTACTTATTAACGTGTTAAAATCATATTTTTTAAAATTTTAAAATAATTAAGAAAGATAATTAAAAATTTAAATTTAAAATAATTTTAAAAAGTGGTTAGAGTGTTTACAAATAACGGATAGAATAATTTGATTGGAATGAGCTAATTAAATATTTCAAAACTCTAGTAATTAAGCATTTAGAGAGAAATATCTACTCCATAATTTGATTGTTTTATATATATATATAGATAGATTTTCATTATCAATGATTACAAAAAACTCAAAACATTTGCGATTTTTACGTGTATAATTTTAGGACTCACCAAAAAGCTCAATGGACCTCTCATATCCTAGAAACCCAACGGGCAGCTCGACCCGTACAAGTGGCAAGGTTGGGGTAGCCTGCTAGCCTGTACGAGTAAGGTCTGAGTTGTGTTTTTTAGAGACGAGGGCATGGAGGGCAGACCCGTTAAGAAGTCCGTTAGCCCTCCTGTTTTGCTAATTGATATTTGATCTGTAACTTTTATAGGTTGACACTTACAAATGATTAACAATTGTGTAAGTGCCAACATAATTAAAATGTACTTAATTTGTAGTGATGTAAAATAGTCTCACCCACCAATCAATTTGTAATGTAACATTACAACTCTATTTGAATATTTGTTAAATTCAATCAATATGAATAATTTTTTTGTTAATTTATTTTTTCATACCAACTTGATGTAATTAATGTCTTTTTGTATTTTTTATAAAAGAAATAAATTTTTCGATGACTTTTTGTATTTTTTACATAATTCTTCTTTTTGAATAAAAAGTCCGTTTTAGGCCCAATGAGCGAGCCATAACGCCCCACCTATATTTAGCCTTTTTTGGCCCAATAGACCGGCCCATGGCCTTAAAATTCCTAATAGGTGGCCTGGCCCGGTCCATTTACTAAGTCAAAGCCCAAATGACCAGCCCACGAACGCGCTATGGGCTAAAAAATGCCGGGCTAAACCGGCCTGGCCCGGCCCATTGCCGAGGCCTATATAATTTATTCCAATTTGCTTTAATAGCAAATCGAGTCGGACCAGCATTGAGAGAGACTCACTTTTCAATACAATTTCCCTTAATTTCTCTCTATACCAGATCCCCTATTTTGTATTGATATGAGCCGCATAACTATTGAGGAAAATCAAGAGAAACTATTCGGATGTGTAAAAAAGAAACAATTCTATTCTATCTGGAAGAGTAAACAGATCATTCGAGTTTAACCAATCACTTGGTTATTTATATTACCAAGGTTAGATGTGTACATTGATCTTCAGATAGAGTTGAGAAGATCCATATAAACACTAGCTTTATCAGCTTATCAAACTCAATCCCATCTTTAAGCAAAAACAAACATGAAAAGTTTATTGAGCAGCTGCCATTTGAAACCAATGTTGACTGCACCATTACAAGCTTTCCCTCATCCTGTTGCAGTTATTATTTATTTGTACTGCTGTAGACTTAAATGCACTCAACAGACAGGGCAACCAGATTTTCCCAGGAGCAAAGAAACTTCTTCTAGGACAACTATGACAGAAGCAAATGAAGGCCTCTTGGAAGGATCTTTACTAGTGCAATGCTCTATCAACCTGCAGATAATAAGCATAATTAGATCAATTGCAAGAAATAAATTGCCAACGTGGCAAAAGTGAGGAATAATGGCATAATTCATTTACATAGAAAACACAAACTGTTTGAGACTTGACATCAGGATGAACTCCCCTCCCCTTGGGCCTTATCCATGTGGTTGTGAAATAACCTCTTTGTTATGATATTCCAAAAATCTTATTTCAACTATTTTAGTGCAAGAAAAATAAATTGTAAAAGCATTACAGGGTCTACTACAAACCGCGAAATCCGTAGATTGCAGCCAAAAACAATAAGCAGGTGAGTTAAACATTTCAGTAGCAGTGTAGCTGTAGCCACTCATATGGCATTTATATATTAGCTAATTAGCCTTCAATGCTGCAACTTGCACCCTCATACAAGAGCTAGTAGCATTGTGGTATCCACCATAATTTGCCTTAATGCTTCCCAAACATGATTAAAACACCTACAGGCTACAGCCACATCCTTTACCTCCCCCCCCCCCGAAAAAAAAAAAAAAAAAAAAAAAAAAAAAAAAAAAAAAAA